AGGGAGGCAGAGGGGAACTAACAGCTTCAGTGCCATTTTTACACAATGCTAGTGGATGGAGTTTAAACACAGAGTTTTGTGACCCTCTATGGCTGAACTGACATCCAATGTACCCACTGTCCACTTATAATATAAGGAATTCATAGCCGGCCTTATTCATATTATATCATATCAATGTATCAGCATATAAAGCCATAATGCACTTTTTATTAAGACAGAGGGCACAAGCATAAAAAACACTTCAAAAAAATTATTTGTTTTAGGCTATAACAGTGGCAAGTGTCTTCTGTGACTGGGGCAAAGCTCTATTCTATTAGCCAAATTTTCCTGGAAAAATATAAAAAAATATTATAATTATGGTTTCGTATCCCATGTTTCCATTCATAATTGAACAATGTAAAAAACTTCTGACACAACAAATAAAATAGTATAAGTCCAAAAGGGGAGGGGAAGATGGAGAGGAGACAGCGGGGGTCACCAGAACAGCCTAGGGACAGGGGGAGAGAGGTGAGATTTGATAAAAGTGCCGACTCTGATCCTGGATGGTGCAGCTTGTCCATCACTGTGGAGACAAGAACAAGGAAGATTCTCAGAGACAGGAATTCTGCAATGAGAAGAAGTGCTCAGTCGGCTCTTATCTTTGATACTGTGAGCACCACCCACCTGCAGATCCATCACACCCACACACACACACACACACACTGGCATACAGGCCTGGAACACTTGCATTATATGAGCGTAAACATATAAGAAAAAAGCTTTGCAAGTCCTTTTACATTAAACTTTTACATTTTTAGCAGAGCATACACTCACGAAAAGAAACAGCACCAACCCAGTCTTTCAGCTTTGTACAGTTTTTGAATCACTGCATTATGAGATCCTTTAAACCTCCTTCATCTGTTTGTAGCATAAAATGAGACTATATAAATATGCACATTTTCCAGAATAACCCATTAAGAAACCATAACATAAGCCAGAAACATGCTTTGGCATTTCCATGTGTACGCCATTTAAGAAAATGAACAAAAGGAAGTTTGGGTGGTGATACTTGAGACAGATCATTTTCACACAAAACATGCCCGGTTTGGGATATTTAGACCTGTCTGTCCGTTTTCATCAGCCACAAGCCTCTCACAAATAAACAGGTGGCCTCAGAGAAGATTATTTCAATTATGGTAAACATTACTCTATGTTTCCTCAAGATTACAGTAGCCAGTTATGGGACCTGAAAACACACATGTAAATTGAGCATGTGGCCTTTAATTATGTGTTGGCACGCTTTGATATTTGGTTCTTTCTGTGGTCATGCTGATTTGGTTTATGATAAAAACTGATGTTATGGATAAGCCCCAGTAAAGAGCCAATTGGACACTTGCCAGAATATTGTACATAGCATTGCAATTTACATTAATGAAATGACCACAGCAAAAGGCAGATTTATTATTCTTCATCCATTGGGATTTGGCCAGTACAGTGTGTCCTGACATTTATTTGTTGTTATATTTACAGCATGTCAATCAGTGACATCTAATCTTAGAAAAGGCCCGCTATAATGCTTTGGCCCGTATCATTTCTTATACAATAACCATGCGAGCGTCGCTGTCTCATAGTAGAGAGGTGCAGTTGAAACGCCAGAAGACGTCTTGGCACTGATGGTCCACGTCAAACTATTAGCAGTGTGCAAATGCGCCACCAGAGGCGCCTTGTCACAAGAAATAAGCCTAAATTCACACACACCGCAACAGCCTCTGAGCGGACAGGCAGACAGCAGCTGTGGTGGTGATAAGAGTGGGAAGTAATTATCAAGTCCAAAGTAGTAGAGACATTTAAAAACGCCACAAGGTGCAGTTTAAAGACAAACATGTGACGTTCATGGTTAAATCAATACTTATTCATATTAATGCTTTGTTAGATTTTGCTCTTATCTTGCCTCTTGCTGTGCTCTTAAGACACTGTTGAGTCAATTACCTCTGATGGGGATGTGCGCCTTGTTCCAAGGCTGCACAGCTTGTTTACGCAGACGACACATCTTAATAATACATGTTTTACACAGATAATCGATCTGTCTGGAGCTTGACAAGAAAGACTAAAGATCCAGTGTGCGCGTAATTAAAGAGGGCACATTACAGAACAAACTCACACTTGGTCTACAAACTCCTCCTATGAGCACTTTATCACATAATAAATACATTCATTCTTGGATATAGCCTATCTGGCGTTAATAGTACGCGTGTACCTCTAACACAAAAATACTCGGTGCCTCTGCTTAATTTTGGAAAAGTAACAGAACACAATTTAGAAAAATGAGGATCTAGTTTTGATGAACATTTCCGTTGCAAATGCTGCGTAAAAGCGCATTTAGAGCCTATGGTCATGCTTCAGGTTCGAGAGAACTAACACTTTCCAGCCTCGCGCGTCACCCCCACATCAGAGCAGCCTCTCTTTATCTCCATCCCTCCAGCACTCCAGAGCAGTCCTCAAGCAGCCTCTGGCCGCCGGCTCGGAAGTCTTTCCTTTAGGCGCTGCAACATTTCCAGGAATAATGGGCCAGGAGTTCACATTTACGCCCATCCGAATGACCCGCAACACAAAACGTATCCCAGAAAAAAAAGTTTGTCCTTAAAGTACCACGGGCCTGATAACTGGTGCAGCTCCATTCTCGAAGATGCAGCAATCGAAAAAGATAACATATCCGTTTGTTTTAGTGGAAAAGCCACGCATGTCCACAACGTGACCGGGCCTGCAGTGCCACTCCAGTCGGCCTACGAGCTATGGAGAGCCTTGCAGCCGCGGCAGCCTCTGCGCCTCAACTGTTCATGCAACATTTTAAAGGTGATTTTATTTCTCTTATTCATTCCTAAAATCCGTAGGATGGGACTCTCATTAGGGCCGAATAAGCAAGCATCAACACTTTTTTCGCTGTCCATAAGCACGCGCATCACTTAATAGATCATTAACCACCGTTATGCTGCTGACATGGACGCTTTTAACGTCTCGTATCTCCATTACAGCGCGTTATTGCCAAAGGGGAGAGCTGCCGGCGGCCCAGTCTACTTCTATTAGGGCGAAGCCGGGCGCTCACACCGCATCAACCTGCCCCGACCACCGAAGGATCAGATTTAGAGCGGCGCGGCTCGGTTCAACTCGGCGCTTCACAGGTGGATCTGCAGAGAGGCGAAAGAAAAGTAATTCGAAATGGATCGTCTTATTAGAATTAAAATAAGTGACGTTAAAAAGCTGAATTTAAGGACGTTTAGGTATAAATAATAGGCTAAAAAGATATTATAGGTAGATATTATATATATTTTTTCTTAATATTAGATTACTTAATTGGGCTAGTTAAAAATCAACTTTCAACTTGTAATTACAAGGCTATATCTATCAGTCAATAATTATCTTGAACACATTATTGGTTATATCAAAAGGCAAATAAAATTATTAAAAATTAAATGAAATAGAATGCATTAAATAATAATAATAATAATAATAATAATAATAATAATAATAATAATAATGTGTCGTTTTGTCTGACAGAATAACGTAAAACATAAAATAAACAAATTTTCTGCGCGTGAGGACTTTTCGAGCTTAAATGTCTAATGGCAAGACATTAAATACAAATGTTAAGTTTTCTATTGCAGCTCCTTAAGGCCTGCGAATAAAAGGTTTGTGTACTTTATTTTGCACAAAGGAAATGTGCACAATATGATTAATGATATGGCTTGTTCAGACACCATGAAACGCAGCTGCAGCGCACTAACAAAGTGGTAAAGAATAGTAACCGGACAAATAAACTGCTCATTACAGAACGTGCAGTTTACAGGCTCCGCGTGCGTCCACCTGATCAATAGGCGCTGGTCGCAGGGCTCAACTCAAGCGTGGATATGAGCAGCAAAGCCAAATGATAATCCAATCGATCTTTGCAATTGACTAATTTACAGGAAGTTTCGTTTCCCCTAGGAACGCACACATTTGCCTTTACTTCATGTTTTTGTGTCCAGGCAATTATAGCTGAGATCAATGATGCGCGCCATCTGATCCAACAACCTGTAGACTCCAGCTGACAGAGCCGCGTGTCACGCTGCGGATCAACGACAGAGATTAATACGCCTGTGTTGTACACAGAGGTAGAGGATGTGACATTTGAAATCGTACAATTAGCTCTGAGATTAAATTCCACGCGAAACGAAAAGGCGCACTCAAGCTTCACCTCGTGCGGAGACTTGGTCTGACTGCTTCACAAGTTGCCCACGCAGGGGCAGCCTTGAGCCGGTTTCAGCTCAGTGCGTCTTTGCTTGGCCGTATTAACTCAACTCCAGCGCGCGCATAGGGAAGCTGGTACGCTTAACGAGCGCAAAACTTAAACTTTATCTCAATTTCCCCGGTAGAATCATACTTTAGTTCATACATAAGCTGAACTACTGTTAATATAATGACTCCGTAAGTCAGTTCCACATACGCTGTTTACAAGCAGGTAAGTCAAATATAGCCAAAAAACTAAAAACAAAACACCTAACACGACACGGGGCCGTGTCATGTGGTTTCAAATTGTGGATGACAGTGAGTAAACTACACCAGACGCACATAGCCTCAGAGTCTCTTAAACTATAAACTACATTATAGTCTGTTTAATTGGTCATTGTGTAACTGAAATAGGGTAGCCTACAAGAAACAAGAAAATGGGCTAAAAATCTCATTACTTCCTTGCTGTTGAAAGTCATGTTTCCAACACAAAAAGGCTGGCGCGCTCCATGCTCTCGCTCCGCGATATTGAGTGAAGGCATTTCTGTCCCTTTCCCCACACTTTCCTCCCACTTTAGGGAAGTCGGTCAGCTGACTGTCTGTGCTGTCGAGCCCCTCCTCGCGCTCCCTTCTGTTCCTCGGGCTGCCACGGACTGTTCCCATTGGACAATTCAGAGGTCCAGATCCTGCCTCTAAGAGCGACGTCACCACGCGCTATAAGGATAAAGGGAGGCAAGGGCAAGCGCAGTCTGCTGGAATCAGAGTGCGAGAGAGAGAGGCGAGCCTTTGAATCTCTGCGGTGCAGAGCTGGAAAAGCTGCTTCTCAGCGAAAATCAGACGCCCTATTTACTGCGCTGAAGACTTCCTGATATTTTCCTGGAGAAAAGGGACTTACAACCAGGGCTGGTGCCCGTCTCCGCGAGCAAGCGTGGTATTGGTTTTTCATCTGTTATTTATAACGATTCTTATGAACTCTTTACCGAATGGACTGAGGTATTTACTTTTTTGCTCTGAGGCGCGTAGCTTTCTACCTCTCGCGAACCCCGTTTGCCCGATTAGCCCAGCAGAAGTAGGCTACATGACGCAAACCGTTTGCAGAGCATTAGTCTGAAACTTTTCCTCCACCACTTTTTTCGTTTTCCTTTTTCTGCGCCGCCGCCAACCACACTGTGTTTCATGCTACAGCAAGTCAGTGCGCAGCTGTGGAGGAGCCAAAAGAACTATTGCATGAAACAAGAAAGGAGAGAAGAGACGCTGATTACTAAGTCAGTTTTTGCGACACTTGCAAACACCTTTGCATATCTGCAAAAAAGTCGCGACCACAACATGAGCACAGAGATGAACATGGGCCCAGAGCTACCCAGCAGCCCTTTGGCCCTGGAATATGTCAATGATTTTGACCTGATGAAGTTTGACGTGAAGAAGGAAGGCCTGGCCGGGCTCGAGCGCGCTGGCGTGCGTCAGTGCAACCGACTACAGCCCCAGGGCTCCGTGTCGTCCACCCCCATCAGTACGCCCTGCAGCTCAGTGCCATCATCGCCCAGTTTCAGCCCCACGGAGCAAAAGAACCACCTGGAGGAGCTCTACTGGATGCCCGGGGGCGCGTACCATCAGCAGGTCGACCCACAGACGTTGAGCCTGACCCCGGAGGATGCAGTGGAGGCCTTGATTGGAGCCACGGCCCACGGTCACCCCCCGCCTGCGCACGTCCAGCAGCAGCTGCAGCAGCAGGGCTTCGAGGGCTACAGAGGTCCGCACCATCACCACAACCATCATGGCCACGGCCAGCAGCACCACCACCCGTACGCAGGGGCCATCCCGCACCACGCAGACGATCTGACCGCGCACGCAGGCACGCACAGTCACGCGCACAACCAACATCATCATCACCACAGCCAAGACCCCGACAGCCCGTCCCCCGTGTCTCCAGAGTCCCACCAGACACTGCACCACCATCGCCATCACCACCATCACCATGCGCACGGCCCTGCGCACCTCGGCCAGTCCACCGGCGGTCTCAACGTGGAGGACCGCTTCACTGACGACCAACTCGTGTCCATGTCCGTGCGTGAGCTCAACAGACACCTGCGGGGCTTCACGAAGGACGAGGTGATCCGCCTGAAGCAGAAGAGGAGGACCCTGAAAAACAGGGGGTACGCGCAGTCGTGCCGGTTTAAGCGCGTGCAGCAGAAGCATGTGCTGGAGAACGAGAAGACGCAGCTGATGAACCAAGTGGAGCAGCTAAAGGCGGAGATCAGCCGGCTGGCGAGAGAGAGGGACGCCTACAAACTCAAGTGTGAGAAACTCACGGGTTCTGGGCCCAGCGCCGGGTTCCGTGAGGCGGGCTCCACGAGCGACAACCCCTCCTCTCCAGAGTTCTTCATGTGAGTTCACAATGACTGACTTATAACCCCCAACCTCCCATACCCTTATGATTATACTAATACGGTAACACTTATATTCATATAGAAAAATAACCCATCTAGTATTCTCATATTTAACCATCTGTCACCCACGTGTCAGCTGAGATACAAAGAGCATTGAGTCCGAGCAGCAGCAGCAGCATCGTTGTAGATTAGAGGCTTGTAGAAGAGACTGGAGGAGCGCCTGATATTTTTCTTAAGTCTTCATCTTAACAGACTTGTAAGTACCGTGGACTATAACAAGTACTCCTGCTGGTGTCTTCTGTGTTGTTGTCCACAGTGACAGAACTTTGTAAACAACGAGAGCAGGCCTGACCACAGCCTGACTCACACACTCTGAGTGGGCCCGAAACTGAGCAACCTTCACGAGACATCACTTTATGCAAAACCCCATCCCTTCTTCAGACCGGTCATGGGGACATTTTATGCAACATCTCATTGATTTATTGCCTGCTTGGTTATATTCAAATATATATTGAAACAAAAAATCTGCATTAAATATTAATCCTGCATGCTGGACATGTACGGTAATAATTTCTATTTTGTACTTTCATCTTCTCGTGTATATTAAGAGCATGTTGTTGATCTGCGCTTCTCTATAGTTTGGGGTTAGATTAATGCAAAGGGAACAAACTTCAGAACTGCCGGTGCAGTGTCATGTGGCGTGGGTTTCTTTAGGCTTGTAAATATTATGCAACCGCAAAACTGCACAACAAGAAGATTTAGGAGGCTGGTTTAAACTTCTGTCTTTCTTTAAGTTGTGTTTTGTTGTTTGTTTTTTTCAGTTATTTCTATTTTTACAATTTGAGTTTTTGGGCTCAGAGGGAGAGAGAAAGAGAGAAAGAGGAAGAAAGGGAAGTGCATTTTTTCAGTTGCATTTATTACGAACTTGTGTGTGTCAAGTGCACTTTTGGATAATGATTTCCAAGTTTTCATTTTGACGTTTGTGCGTACCTCCCTCCAGGAAGACATACTATGATATTGTATGGCTATTTTAAACATGCCTACTTTTTGGATTCATCACTTTGTCACTGTTTTTTAAGTGCGCGCCCATTAAACGTGTGCGCAAGTCTGCGTAAAAGCGCTGTGCTCCAACTTGACAAAGCTCGTTCTAATTGGCCACCTGTAGCTTCACATGCCCCATGATAATTTATATTTGTACTATTTTAGAAGCACATTTGATCACGTTTGATGTGGACTTGTAGAAAACGCTAGACGTTTGGAATGTTAATAAATGTTTTCCTGATTTTTTCCTGCCGGTCAGTAAAAAAGGGGATCCAGGTTGTGCAAATTCTCAAAATGAAAACTATTTGTATGTTTTATGATACGTTGTTTTTGTCTGTTTTATTATTATTTGATGATTCTGGTTCTGCTGGCCAGATGCATAGTTAAAGTTTTTATTTTAATGATTTAAATTAACAAACTTGTCAGATCATATCGAATAAGCATGGTGCTTGCATCTGAAACTATTGTTGAAAAGTCATGCATTTAACAATCTTTTTCGTTACTGATTCAACTGTGTTGAAATCGAAGTGAAACTGCAGCAGCGGGTTGTTGTTTTGTTTTCATATATTTCATGTACTTTGCAATGATGATGGGGATCAATTTTCAACCCTGTTTATATAAATAATAGTTGAACACTTAAATTTTAACTGTTCATTCAGGCTGGTTTCTGTTGTGTCTTATTTTTGGTTGTTTTGAAAGAAATTGTTTCCTATTTTGCTTATTAAAGTCATTGAAATGGCATTATATTCTCTCAGTTGTTTGTTCCTATACGACACAACTAAAAAAAAAAAAGTTTACAAAGGCGCAGACTAACTCATTTTATTTTATGTTTTTTTTTACCACACTGAGGATTTAATCACAAAAAACTACACACATAAGACAATCTGAAATCTGACTACACTTCTCTACTGTTTAATCTTTAGATTGCCCGGCGAGTTTCTCTTTGACCAGATTGACGATGTTAAAGATTTTTTGTGGCCACTGTGTCCAGGGACATTCCTGTGTCCCACGCGCTGCCGTGCTGACTTGTGCGTAACCTGCGCGTGAGCGCAGTAGCAGCGCGCAGTAAAACGAGCTCTTTGACCTTGCAACGCACCGGGAAGACATTTTTACATTAAGTACTCAAATCACTTTTTAGGCCTTTGTGAGCGCGTGGGTCTGAATACACTCAAAGGCTCGCGGGTGTTACACAATCACCGTTTAAGGCGCTGAAATCAAAATAATCCCACGTGCGTGCGCACAGCAGAGGCACCGGGCGTTACTAATGGTTAAAGGACAGCGTGTCAACACTGATTGTACGGAACGAGTCATATAATAATAATTTTAAAACCATCCCTGCTTTAGTGTATTCTTACAGTAGACAAAAGGTTATAGAAATTACTTCAGAGATGGAGCGACTGTAGAGATAACTGAACTTTTAGAGAATATCAGAATATCTGCCTTTATGAAATACTGAAATAAATTGGTGAAATATACAACTGCATAAAAAGTTTATTTAAAAAAAAAAAATCCCAATATTCTGTAGTACTTTGATTCAAAATGCAGCTGTATTGTGCTGGGGACACACTTCCGGCAATAAGGCAGAAGAAGAGGAAAGAGAGCCAGAAGATGGGAGTAAGAGTGGATCCGCTCTGGTCTAGAGTTTCTGGTGTCAGAACATTATCTGCCCCGTGTCTGCACATTCTCAAGGACAAAACCGCTAGGCAGCAATTCCACCAATGAGACCGAGGAGAGCCAGTCTAGTTTACATTCTCTCTCCTTGTATCTCTGGATGTCCACTGCAGCCCAGGGCAAGAGTGCAGCTGGGGTGAACAGGGGAGACGCTTCAGTGAAGGTTCACACAATACACACACGCACTCCTCTTCATGCTTTTGTACAATCGATTATTACATAGTTATAATACACTCCTTGAAAGGCATATGATGCACTCTATTCTTCCCAATCCCAACCAAGGAAAGGTGTAAATCTGTGCGTATTAAACATATTAACAGTTATATTATGATAAATTGGGTGTGAAAGTCATTTGATAAACAAAACACCCATATGAAACAATTATAATTTATTACTTTTTTGCATCATTTAATACATGTATACATTTTGCATTTTGACAAGTTTGACCAAAAGTGTTAGTAGCTAGTTATGTAGTTTGCAAATTAAAAAGACGGCTGCATAGAAAAAAAAACACTACAAATTATAATAATAATAAAAAATAAATAAAATACACCTAATTCTAACTTGAGTGACAGATTTCTTCTAATGTAATGCATCACAGAATATACAAGAACCACTTCAAGTCTGTGACGCATTTCACCTTTTAGAGGCACTTTGAATGACTGAGAATTGTATGCATTATTAACAGCCTGCAAACCGTGACATTCTCCTCTACCTGAAGGGACTTTGTAAAGTTTTGCAGAGATGGGGGTGTGTTGTTTTGTTTTTGGAGCATAGATTTATGTAAAAATGTTCAAAGAAAGAGGAAGTCCCAGGCAGAAGGAGGGAGAGAGAAGCAGTGGGTCCATGGCTGAGCGGAAGAGCCAAGGACACAGTGACCAGGCGTACTGTAATGATTTTAGTCTCCAATCACACGTTCGTGCCCCCCCACTGAGATCCTATCTACACTCAGCCTGCTCCGCTCTGCTCTGCTCTGCCAGCCACTACCGCTCCTCACTGTCTCAGCAGCAAGCAGCAAGACTCAGGGTTAAAGATCCACAAGCCAGACCAAGACCTATACCTATACACTGAGTGACGCAGACAAAGTTCAAAGACTATGTGGAAAATTTATTAAAAAAAAGAATGATTCATGTTCATCATTAACGCTACCAACAGGATTATATTCAGTTTTGAGTCTTTTGCTATCAAGACACGTGCTACAAATAAGCGACTGTGTATGGATTGACAAAAATTTGATAAAGAAATTATTTACTGTGAGCATGGGTCCCATATGCTCCTGTATTTGAGTAGAAAGTAGGAGGGGTTGGCTCGCTTAGATAGCAATTTTCCACCTCTATCTGCCCTCAAAGTGCAGGATCCACTGACCCATTCACACAGCAGTGTACAGACATTAGGGTCAAATATGGGTCAAGTACTGTACAGATAAGACTTAAGATCAAACCAATAACCTTTGGGCAGACACACTACTAACTGTAGATGTCAGATATTTTGATACAACCCCACCCTTTTGTTGACTGTCCTGACTTTTTTCAGACACACTGATATCAATTAATTGTAATTGATAGCAGTGAAATTGTAAAAACTCCAAATTAACAACAAATTGTGCTCTTTAAAGGATTTATAAACCAGTGTTGTGCTGTTTATAATTACAAACTTTTTTTTCCTGAGCTGGGCTTGTAATTATAGATCATATTTAATATTTATATAAAACATATTTTCTTTATTAACTGTGCCATATGGTTGTGTTCACTTCCAGCAGCTTCCAGTGTTTGAACTCCCTCTGAGCAATCATGATTTAATTACAATTTGGAAAAAGGTGTTCCTAGATACACACACACACACAAACACACACAAACACAGAGCCAGTGCAACACAGCACATTGACTTTCATTGGAAGTGACTTACCTGCTTCGCTAAATCACAGAGATCTCTCCGGGAATTAAAGCAGGCTTTCCCTTGAGACCTGCACAACATAGGAGATTAAAACAGTGTACAATGGGCTTTTTGAAGCACAAAGGAAAGAGAGAATTAAACATTTCATCTTTTAATATTTGTCTTGACACTGTCAAAACATGTGGCTACTGTAACCCAGCACCCAGCATTGGACGTAATTTAAATGCAATTCATGCTTTATTAATGTCAGTCAACCAACCAGCTATACCGCTGGCTAAGTCCTAAGAGCAGGTAGACCCCTTTTGTACAAGTTAACATAAATTCAATAGGCATTCAAGTTTTGTATAAAAATGTTAAATTCATGTTCAATCCAAATGCTGGATTAAGGAGGCAACTAAAATCATACAGAGCAGCACCAACATCATCCGTGACACTCCTATCACACACCTGGGACGTGCTTCTTCAGAGACCAACAGGCATCAGGAGATGTGGTCAGCCTAAGCAACCTACAAAGAAGTGGTGCATGTCAAGGTAGGTAATAACATCTCCTAAATGTATCATCTTTGAAAAGAACCAAAGTTAGGCATTTATCACATCGTGAGGACTAAATTTTATTAGGACCTAATTTAACAAAGATTTTAGGATGGATTAATTTTGGTTTAGGGTAGGCAAATAGTCATGATGGTAAATGTTAGGATGAGCCATCACAGCAAATGGTCATAAATGATTATAATGTCCCCACAAGTGAAACCTATATAAGGCAGTCAGAGTCAGAGACAAAAGACAAATGTGAGTTTCCTTAACGGCATGTAACACACCTACTGTTCCTACTCCTTCAATTAACAGGTTGAGTCAGGAGCCAAGCCGCTACTATCAACATGGTCGCTTCATCTGCAACTTATCTCCTGTCTGCAACGCCCTAACATCCTGAAAACACGCATGCATCCTCCATTGCTCTCAAATTATAATCAGGCTTCTATTGTGTAACTACCAACAACACATTCCAAGTTTGTTTCTAATTTGTGGTATATTTGAAGAGTCTAAACACATCTGAACAGTGGCAGAAACGGTCACATTACTTCTGATGGAAACATTTTAAAAGGGCACATACTGTACAATATTATCTTAATTACAAACCGAAGTCCTTGACTTTTCTTGAGATGTGTTGTTACTAGGGTTCTAGGAATCACATTTTCTTTCACTATTTGATATGATACACAATACATGGCTCACGATACAATATTAGCACACAATAATCTACCAAAGAACCAAATACATTTTAGCAACAATATTTCTTTGTTAAACCACCACCACCACCTTCATAACCCAAAGTTAATATGAATTACATCTATTTTACTCATCTAAACAGAGTATATGTCAACTATGTCAATTGCATAAACAAATTTCTTTCCACTAAATAAGCAACACAATTGTGGTGCGGTCACATAAAAAATTGGTAAAAGAAACCAAAAAATATTCGTCTGTGTACTGATACAGCAGTTCACAGTCACAATATTGTAGCACCAAATTTAGTCATAATATATCAGTGTTTTTGCACACCCCAGTTGATCAGTCTCCAGTTTCACATTTTTGAGTTTGTGTTGTACATTTTAACACATGTATGTAAAAGTGAGTGACTGTATATCCTATTGAAACCATATCCTAACATACTGTATGCATAGCTAATCACCTTAACACTAACATCATATATTTCAAAGGCTTAATTTCAGCCACACAGCGCAGATTGATAACGACCACGGATTTTTCGCTGACCTCACCACCACCGCAAGTCTCTCTTTGTGATGATTTCGTACCTTTACAGTCACAACCAGTCAATGGCGTCTATGATGGATACCTATGGAAGCAGCCGGACGAGCAGTCGATGGAAAGTGACCCATGTGGACATCTGCGCTTCCGGGATGTGAAACCCAATTCCGGGTGGGATTGATCCGTGTCTGGCCACTGTTAGGGATAAGGCTAGAGAGGAGAGGGAAGAGATAAGAGCAGACACTGAGGGGTCAATGATACGTTTGAACCATCAACCTCAACTGCAAACTGGGCACTACACAGATCCCCCTGCCCCCATTCCACCACAGCCAGCCCACTTCATTCTATAGGGTCTTTAAAGTTGTACATGCCATGTTTCATCCAGCCATGAGAAAGGCATTTTAGTGGTA